CGTGAGTTTAAGCCACCAGGTCCGGGACACGAACCGCGGTTGACTATGTGGGAATCCAGCGACATAGCCATTACGCCAACTGCTGGTCCCATTTTTTAAATGGCTTTTAAAATCAAAAGAAAAAGAAGGACCAGCAGTTGAATATGTCACTGGATTCCCATGTAGTCAACCACGGTTTGAGTAATGGACCTGGTGGCTTAAACTCATGCTGGGTGTGTGTGTTCATGTGCCCAAGATCCAAAGAGGAGAATGGAGGAGGCTGCGTGGCCATCCCCCCTGGGGGGGGATTTCTCACTTTGTCTCTCTGTCTCTGTCTTTCTTGCGAGCACACGCGCCCTATAACAAAAAACTCAAAAAAAAAAAAAAAAGAAACAAAAGAAAAGAAAGTGGGCTTCTGATAGCATACATTCTTCCTCCCTCCCATCCTCCCTTCCTCCCTTCCTTTCTTCTGTCCTTTATCCTTTTTCTCATTATTTCTTTTAAAGTGTATATATTTATTTATTATTTCATAAGCAAGAGAGAGAAAGAGTAGAGTGTGTGTGTGTGTGGATGTGGCAAAGACAGCACCCCCAAAAGAGTCTTGATGGCATGATCCAACTCCAACCTTCAGCTGGTCCCAAATCATGGGCAAATACACGCCCCGAGTTCCCAGGGACATCTCCAGACTTAAAGAGACCTTTCCCATGTGGGCCAGTCACATGGGAAATAGCATTGTGATTCTTAAAATTTTTATTTATTATTAGTTTTGTTTTGCTTTTCATTTGCTATAGGGCATGTGCACTCACCAGAGACAGAGACAGAGAGAGAGAGGGAAAGTGAGATAGCAAGTGGCAAGATAAGGGACTCAAACCACAATCAGCCACGTGGGAGTCTAGCACCCATTCCATTTTCCTGCTGCATCACCATCTGGCCACCAGAACACCTCTCTCAATATTGATGGAGGGAAGGGACGTTGCTCTTGAATTCTGCCGTTTGTTGCCTGTGATTTCCACAGCGAATCGCTGTCACTGCTGGCTGTAAAACCACCACCTCGGCTGTCATGGTTCACTGCCTGCGCCAGAAGACAGAGAACGAGCTCTTGGAGGTGACACTGAAAATGGTAGGTGTATCCACCCCGCTGGCCCCTGCCCTGTAAGCTTGAGCCCTCGGTTCATCATCCCAGCTTGTCCCCTTGCCCTGGAATAAGTACTTGGGACAGCTTCTCATCTCTCAAGAGTCTCTAAATCTAAGAGGAGGATTTCGGCTTGAATTTTTTTATTATAAAACACCTCAAATATCAAAAATGTTCAAAAATAGCATGAGAGAAAAATGACTAAGAATCCTCTAACTCCATCAAACCCTAATATTTTGCCATTCTTATTTTCAGATGTATTTTTAAGAAAGTAAATTTTACATAGTCCCAGGAGTTACCACCATCCTGAATTTTGTTTCCAGAAAGGTGTCATGATTGATCATGATTGATTTAGAGACTGGCCCAATTTTCTAGACTTTCTCAGCCTTTGCCTCAGTTGTGATCTAGGATAAGCATCCATCTACTCATTCATCCATCCATCATCTGTCCATCCATCCACTGCTCCATCCATCTCCTTATCTAGCCCACTACTAATCTGTCTAGTTCACTGATGCCTTTCATCAATCTGGTATCAATTTATCATAAGTTTCATTCATATATTATCAACCCATCCATCATCCATACATCAGCCAGCCATCATATTTTCACTCCATCAGCCATCTCTCCAAAATCAATGATCCATCCATCACCTATCTACTAGGTATCCTCCATCTATCTGTTATCTACCTTCTCACCCATATTCTATATATTGACTGACTCCATCCATCCATTCATCCATCCATCCATCCATCCATCCATCCATCCATTCACGTATGCTAAGTGTATAGCACAAGAGGTGTCAGGGAAGTGATGCAGATGTAAATTGGACACAGTCCTTACTCACAAAGAACTATCCAAGAAGAAACACACTTACATACTTAGTGGGTTAAGTGTGGTGGAAGTAGAGAGAAGAGAAGCATTTGTTATAACCAGTAGGGACGCTGCACAGAGGAAGTGACATTTGGGCATTGATAGATGGCTATGGCAGTCTGTCTTCACTGGGAAGGGCTGCAGGATGAATATAGCATCCAGGGCTAATAGGAACTATTCCCATTATCAGGGAAAAGTGTGAAGGTAAGCCCCAGAGTAGCCTGGACTTTCTGGATCCTGGGCATCTGAGGATACTCTTGGACTTCCAAGAGAAGACCTCTAGCACTGGTTTCTGACTGAATTTCCATGGGTTGAGTTTAATGTGGCCTTGGGGCTTCAGTCTTGGTTCATCAGGCTCAAATAAGGTGACCAGACATTCAAAGAATTAAAACACAACCATTTTCTAATGCCTGGAAAGGGGCAAATATTTCAGCCATTCTCCATGTGTCATAAGAGGACACAGCTTATAAGGGAAGAGTTAGTGATATGGGGAACACTCAAAGAACTTCAGTTCTCAGGACATCCTGCTGAGATTTTCAGAGATCTGATAAAGTGCTTCAATGATTATCCACTTCCCCCAACACACACACACACAGTCCTCATTGGTGGGGCTACAACCCATAATGAGTAGAGAGACCTCTGCTGGTCACTTCCCACATATACGTCAGACCTGTTAGCTGTAGTGTAACATTATAGTTACTGCAGTTTTGGTGAACACACATCAAAGAGAAGTATGGGATGAGATAAGTTCTAGTGAGCTTGTATACGTCAGGGCTTTCGTAAGAAAGATGAGAAAATTCATCTCAAGGTACCTTGAGCAGAAAAAGAAGTATGTTGTAACAGAATTTTTAAATAACTAAAAATTCCAGAAGTAGAAAGCTTCAGGTATGGCTGGATCCAGAAGTTAAAATGATATTATTGAGCTATCCCTCAGATTTACCCTCCTGTATTAGCTTTGCTCTCAGGCAGAATTGTCCCCTGTGGAGGTTAAAGACAATGACAGTACTCTAGATTTACATCTTATCTGCTTAGAAACCCTCTTGTCTAATAATTCCAGCAAATGTTTTGGAGGTAACTCTGTTGAACTGATGTGGGTCTGTGCTCATTCTTGTACTGATCTCCAGGTCATATCCTCGTGCCCAAATTCATGGAGAAGAGTGGGGAACAGGGTCACTCCCCATGGGAAAATCAGAGTGTTGTCACCAGGGGAAACAACACGCTGTGCAGGGCAGGCACAGATAGCAGGCAGTAGCTCTTCTCTCCAGAGCTCCAGCAACCCTGGCTCAGGTCCCCAAGGCCTGTCCTTTTCTTGCTAGTGTCTGCCCTGCCCCCTGTCCTACATCTGCACCTGTGCTCATGCACAGCAGAGCCAGTGTCCTGCCCACTTCCTCTGGGGCCAGCCAGGGTGGCACCAGGGGAGAGAACCTGATACCTCTGGTACATAGTTCACAAAGATAAGAGTTTCTCCCGGGAAGCCTTCTCACCCACACCCTCTGCCTTTGTCTTCACAGAAATTTTTTTCTCTCGACTTACTTGGAGACCCCAGAGAGGTAAGGACTTATGCTTTCTTGATTATAGGTTTTAAGTCTTAACACCTTGAAGCTCTAATTAATTGTGAATAGGAGAATTCTCCCTTGCAGAGTCATAGTAACTCCTGTGTGTATGTATTGCAGAAGCTCAGAGAGGGTCAGTGACTTGCCTGGGTAACGCTGACAGGAGGACCAGAGGCAGGACTGGAATCTATTCCCTTGACTCCCAGTCTAGCACTCCCAGTCATCAGCTCTGCGTCCTAGGGCTCAGCCTACCCCCTTCTTATTTGCATGTTCTGTTCCCCACAATGGCCCTGTGGGAGGAGGCTGGACTAGTGCCTTCTGCTGTCAGTAGTCAGAGATAAGTGGGGAAGGGGTTTCTTTAGGAGCCTTCCTGGAGGGGCATGGATCTCCTGAGAGGCCATACAGTTGACTGGCCATGCAGAGAGGGAACCTATAACGTCAGTCCTGAGGACACCACCTTCATCCCAGCACCCAGGAAACTCCAACAGTATCCCTGCTCTCCTTCCTCCCCTTCCACCACTCAATGTGTTGCCAGGGTCTGGTGACATTACCTCTGCAGCATCTTCTAACTCTGTCCTTTCTGCTCCTTCGGAGGTCAAAGCACTCCCCTTAAAATATTTTGTGAGGATTAATATGTTCAACTGTTCATAAAAGATTTCATAAGCACCTATCATATGCCAGGACCTCATTTAAGAGCTGAGGATACAGCAGTGAGAGACAAAGATTCCCTGCCCTTTGGAAGCCTTCCATTCCTGTGGAAGAATATAATAAAAAATAATAATACTAAAAACAGAGAAAATATGTAGTGTATTAGATGATGACCAGCATCATGGAGAAAAAGAAAGTGCAACCTGGGGGTAGAGTTTGCCAGTGAATTGAATTTAAATAGCAAGCCGGGGATTGGCTCAGGGAGACTGACATCTGACCAGAGCTCTGACGGAGGGGAGGAAGCCAATGGTCAAGAAAAGTGGAGGAAGGGGACTCTAGGCTGAGGGAACAGCAACAGCAAAGGCCCTGAGGCAAGAAGCCAGTGTGTATAGAACAGAAGATGGGAAGGGTGTGAACAGGGTTGAGACTAAAGAGGCAAGGGAGGTGAAGGTGGAGACGGCCATCATTTAAAGGATTGGGGGTCCAGTGCAAGGTGTAATGGTTACATCATTGGACTCCCACGTAGTCAACCATGATTTGAATCCTACATCCGGTGGCTTAAAACTCATGCCAGGTGCATGTGTGCATGTGTCCAAAATCCCAAGAGGAGAATGGAGAAGGGATTGTGGGGCGTGGCCATCCCCCTTAGTTGGTAATTTCTTGCTTTCTGTCTCTCTATCTCACTCTGTCTCTCTGGGAATCACACATGCCCTATAGCAAAAATCTCTCTAAGATAAAATAAGACAAAGGATTTGGACTTTGCTCCTGAGCCTTTGGAGGGTTTTAAACAGAGGAGTGATGTGACTTGAATTTTACATAGGTCTCTGGCTGTGTTGGAAACAGACTGCAGGCAAGAGGTAGAGAAGATGCAGAGAGACTAGTTGGGGCCCAGTGCATTGCAAAAATCCAAGCAAGGGACCCTGAATGCTTAGATTAGGGCTGCAACCCTTAGGACAGTGGGAAGTTCTTGGAGTATTGATTTTTTTTTTTTTTTTGAGAGATTTTCACTACAGGGCATGTGCGCTCGCCAAAAAGACAGAGAGAGACAGGGAGACAGAAAGTGAGAAATCGCCCCCCAGGGGGGATGGCCACGCCGCAATTCCTTCTCCTCCATTCTCCTCTCGGGATCTTGGGCACGCACGCAAACGTGCCCAGCGTGAGTTTAAACCACCGGGTCCAGGACTTGAACCGTGGTCGACTACGTGGGAGTCCAGCGACATAGCCATCACGCCAACTGCTGTTCCCAAGTATGGATATTTTTGAAGGAGTCACAGAATGGATTTACCATTGGACAAGATGTGAAGTATGAGGGGAAGAAGTGAAAGAAGCCCTGAGCTTTCTGAGACAAGCACCTTCTTGCTAAAATGTACTTGCAACTCCAAAATCAATATTCACAGCACTCCTGTGGTCATTCACAGACAGCACAGAGAGGTGAAAAGTGTGACTCCCGTGGCGCACATGTTCCCATCTAAGTTCAAACAGGGAGGCGTTCTGTCATCTTGTTTCTTCTCTCATCCTAACTAGTGTCCTTTTCCATCTAGTTAAAGCCATAGCGTTTGCATTTTTGTGCTTTGTCAGTGATTCCACTGTGTAAAACAGCCCCGACAATGGTGCAGAAGTGCCGTCGGGTGTTCCAGGCACACGCAGGCTGTGCTGTGCCTACAGAGACAATCCATCTGCTCGACACCCTGGCTCAGGCGTGCGTTGCAGTGCTTTGGCCATGAGTGCGGTGTTAGTGAATAGACAACACAGTACATCCAGAAGAAGGAAGAGGGAATGTGCCAGTCCCTGTGTGAGGCCGTTCTGGGAAATGCTAACGCAAAGTCTGTAGTGTGTGATGAAGCTGTAGAAAAGATGGAAAAACAGCTAACTTGGTAGAGTCATGAGATGGATATTTTAAAAAGATAGTAGACAGGGGAACCAGCAGTTAGCGTAATGGCTGTGTCACTGGACTCCCACGTAGTCGACCGCGGTTCGTGTCCCGGACCCGGTGGCTTAAAACTCACACCAGGCGCGTGTGCGTGCGTGCCCAAGATCCCGAGAGGAGAATGGAGGAGAAGGGATTGCGGCGTGACCATCCCCCCTGGGGGGTGATTTCTCGCTTTCTGTCTCTATGTCTCTCTCTGTCTGTTTGGCAAGCGCACGCACCCTATAGTGAAAATCTCTCCAAAAAAAAAAAAGATAGTAGACAGAAACTTTACAGTCAGGTTACCCAGGGCCAGGAACTTTGGTCAGCCCTTCCTGGCTGGTATTTAATAAATAATACAGCCCTGCGCAGTGTCACATTTTGGCCAATGACTGATCACATATGCAACTATGGTCCCATAACATGATGCCATGCAGCCTAAGTGTGTCGAGGTCTACAGCATGTAGGTTTGTGTAAATACACTCGATGATGTTCGCGTGACAAAATCACCCAACAATGCGTTTCTCAGAATGTCTCCCCATTGTTAAGTGACGCGTGATTGTACTACATAGAATGAATTCGTTGTACGAAATACGTCCATCGCATAAAGTGTCTTTAAGCACAAATCAACATGTAAAATAAGGATGAAGAAAATGTGTCCAGAGGCTCTAAGAACCTAATCCTATATTTCTTGTAGGGGCAGTGACTCAGTATTTGTTACTTCACCATTCATGACAACTTTGTAGAGCGTGACTAACGTAAATAACAAGAATTAACTAAATAGATACATAGATAGATAATACACATATTTCAATTGAAAAAAATAATATAAAGAATACCTAAATATAAAACATTTTATACACACACACATGTGTGTGTGTATGTGTGTGTGTGTGTGTGTGTGTATATATATATATATATATGCTTCAATTTGAATGAAGAGTTTGCTCCATCCCCTGTCACCTTACCACTCCTGGTTGAAGTCTGTACCTTCTCATGGTCAGCCAGACTTAGCCCCCTTAGCTTCTGGGACCAGCCCTTGGCCTCACAGGTCCATGGTCCTGGCCTCGCTCTCAGACAGGCAGGGTGGGAGATGTGGGTGTTTCCTGAAAAGGGGAGCACAGACCCCATGCTGTTGTTCTGTTCTCCAGAGCTATCCTTTCCTGCCCACTGTGACTGATGGAGTGCTGCTGCCCAAGAGACCTGACGAAATTCAGGCTGAAAAAAAATTCAACACTGTCCCCTACATTGTTGGAATCAACAAGCAAGAGTTTGGCTGGCTTCTTCCAACGGTGAGAACACACTGGCGTCTTAGCTTTGCCTCCCCCACCCGCCAGCCCTCCCATCTCTGGTCGCAGGACTTGTTCCTTCTCCAAACCCCTTTCTGAGTCCAGGCCAGCTGTCCCCTTCTGCGTAAGTTGACATTTCCATAGAAACCTTCTCTGGGATGGTTCAACTGTCACCTGGGGAACCCCTCTTCTCGAACATCCTTTGATCATCCTCCCATTAAAGAATCCTGAAAAGTCAAGGCTAGGAGGGCCCATATAAAAACTAATTGTGCAGATAGGGAAACCCAGCAGGCCTGAAAAGGAGAAGGAGCTCTGGAGTTAAGGAGAGTTAGGCCTGAGGCCCAACAATCTCCACCTGTGCTCTTAGTCACAGGTATTTTAAGGGGATTGGGTCCTTCTACATTGTTAGAAGCTACACTGGAGTTTGGTCAATACTTTGAGTACAGAGATTTGGATGAAATCATGTACCAGGAGTTTGGCAGTTCTCACTTCAGAAGGATTTCAGAGGGCTATCAAAAGACCAAGGCCATGATAGCCTCCTCAGTCATCTGTGAAAGTGAGTTATTTGTGAGAGCTGTTTCCTGCCCCAGAGCCTAGCCTGGCTAAGCCTTTACTCTCTGCCTTGGGAATCTAGCCTGATACCCTACACACACACACACTGCAAGAAATCAGGCACAGCTTCTGGTAAACATTTTTCCTATTTTCTTTGCAACTTTTGAGTTGTTGAGATAGGTTCATTCAAGTCATGATTTTGCCCATTCATCAGAGATCAATATCCTTTAAGGTCCAACAAAAATAGGTACTCTTTGGACTGCGTTCATTTGATTGATAGTCAGTTAGTTCTTCCCATTAATTTCTGGTGATTCACAAATGATGTACCTTTTTTTTTTTTTTTTTTTAACAGATGATGGGTTATCCACTCTCAGAAGGCAAACTAGACCAGAAGACGGCCACGGAACTCTTGTGGAGATCCTACCCTGTTACTGTTAAGTCCAGGGAATCGTGGGAATTGACTGCAACCCAAAGAGGGACAGGGACTTGCCCCAAATCACAGACCAATTAAATGGCAGAATAGAGATTGTGACTTGAGGGTTCTGCCCTCATTTTTCTACCTTTTCCACTTTACCCTCCACCCTGGGGTGGGGTAGTTGCACAGGGCTCGAGAGGTTTGCCATTCATGGGAGCCTTCTTCACTAGGCCAAAAAGCCCTATCACTCACTAGGGGGCGGTGGGCACTTTCTTAATCCATTTCAGAACATCTCTAAAGAACTGACTTCTGTGGCCACTGAGAAGTATTTAGGAGGAACAAACGACCCAGTCAAAAAGAAAGACCGTTTCCTGGATTTGATTGGAGATGTGGTATTTGGTGTTCCAGCTGTGATTATGGCCCGTCGCCACAGAGGTGAGTTGTAGAGATTAGACAGGAGAAGGACTTTGACCCCACCAGGTTCCGTGTCTGATCAGCCTCCTTCCTAGCAAAGAAAACATAGAAACTGCTGAAGGTCAGTCCCCAAAGGTTGATTCCATGGTCAGGCTTCATAAGCTGATTTAATATGATGTGGGGTTGGGGGCTTTCCTATTTTGGTTTGTGTCAGAAGCAGGAAAAGATCAAAATGTAGTAGTTTGAGTGTGGATCCCAGAAATCGCCAGTAGGAAACTAATCCACGATGTGTTGCAAATCGAGTGTCCACTGAGGTCACTGGGGCTAGGGAAGTCCAGACTACAAACAGAGGACACGACTCAGGGTTATCTTGTCTGAGTGGTAGGAGAGCTGGGGTATTTATCCACCAACTCCCACTTGTCATTGGTGGACAGTTATTTCAAGGGGTGGTTAATTTCCTGTCACTTTGACCTACTGCACATATGAGCAGAGTAGTCTCTGGCGCCAAAGGCCTAGGCAAAGAGCTACAGATGCTAGAGGCAGAGATTAGGCTGGCATGCCCACACGTAGAAGGTGATGTTATGGTGGTATATGCGGCTAGAGAGCAGATATTGGAAGACGGATCTTGGAAGGTTTCCAAGCTGCAAATGAGTTTGTTAATTAGTGGAGATGGGGAAAGAAAGGAGTTAAGCATGGGACCAGGAGGGCTGCCTGGCACCAAGAAGGCCCAAAGCAGGGAGCAGGAACAGGTATGGGCGGAAGTGGCCTGGAGAATGTCAGTATCTGTGACTGGCTTTTGTCCATCTCTGTGTGGGCCTGTGTGGGCAAGCTGAGGACTAGGGCTTGTGGGAGTCGGGGGGTGCTGAAAGCCTAGCCCAAGATCTAACATTGACTCACAGCTATGTGGATAGAGTATGAGGTTATGAACGTGTGAGCTCACAGATGGGAGGTGTCTCCTGGTTGCCCTTCGAGGAGCTTCACAGGATCCTCCTCTTTCTACCAGCACTCATCCAGGTACTCTACAAGCCAGAAAGTGGTTTTCTGGGCCAGTCCGCTCTCTAATCACAATGGAAAGGTCTTAAAACTCAGGACTATATAGTACAGTAAAAACTAGCTATCGCTGGCCTAGAAAGTGCCCAAGCACACCTCTGTACAGTAACGTACAGGTGCTAGTCACCACTTCCTCCTCACGAGGGACCTGATGAAAACCTGCAGCCAGGAGCCATCTGGAGACCCATCTGCTCTTTCACACACTTGGTTTTCCCTGCTCTGTGGCTGATTCATAACGTCCCTCTCTGCATCATCTGCTGGTTCTGGCTATACTGGATTGTGTGTTTATCTGTTATTCCATGATTTGAGTTCAGGGTCTTTTTCCCAGAACTACACAAATTTTAACAATTCTCTCTCTTTCTCTCTCTCTCTCTCTCTCTCTTTGTATGTGTCTCATTCTTTTTGGTAAAAAGAACCTTTCACAATATAAAATTAATAGGTTATAGTTGTAGAAACTGTGAAAAATATGGAAGCTCATAAGGAAGAATCATGGGGTCTAGAAGGTGGCTCAGTGGTAAAAGACATGCTCTGTGAGACTGACCCACATGGGAAGGTTCCAGGTTTGCATCTAGAGACCTCCCTGAATACATCAGGCATGCATGTGCCCAGGATCCAGGGCTGGCTGAGGCTGGAGGTGGATCTTGGCATCAAGACCCCATTGATGGTGCTGTTTATCTCTGTCTCTTGTTCATGGAAGAAGTAGACTTTTAAAAAAAAGAGAATAAACTAGATATTACTCATAATTCCTTTACTAATGATATCTGCTTTAAATTTGTGGTGTATAATAATTTTTAAATGTCTTACAGATAATTCAAAAATTTGCATTGTCTTTGATGACTAGCTTTCTCATCTCTACTTTTTTTGTTGTTCCAAATTATTAACCAAATCTGTGCCCCACTTTCCTTTGAAGACTTCACTGTAATTTGCAGGATTTTATAACCTCAGTGGTTATAGGCAAAACAACTTTAAAGTAAGTGTATTTGGGGCATGATGGTGTATAAAATGAATGATCTTATTCACAGCCATCTTTCCTCTCTGGGTGAGTTCTGAGTTCCTTTCTGAAACATTTGAGTGACAGAGACAAGGTGAGACTCATCTTTGCATAGATTCTGCTTGACCTTGAAACAGCTGTTTAGCAAGTATACAGTGGAACTACAGAAGGATTGCTTATTCTAAACCTTTCTTGCTAAACCCAGGGCATGATGAAGTTTAGCATTCTGTATCCTTACATTGGGGTGATATATGTCCTTAAGTCTTTTCACAGATGAGTAGCTAATGATGTGAAAAAGTATTGTAGTGTATTAGAAAATAGCATACACCATATTACCTGAATTTTATATACATATACAAGGGATATGTGCTAAAACATTTTTATAATTATTTATTTAATTGTATTATTATTATTATTTTAAAGTTTGTTACAAGGCATGCATGCTCACCAGAGAGAAACACAGAGACAGAGAAAGTTAGAAAGCAAGCCCCCAGGTCCGGGACTTGCATTGACAGGTCCAGGACATGAACCACCATCGGCCATGTGGGAGTACAGTGCCTTAAACACCATGCCACCTGCTAGCTCTGTGTGCTAAAATATTAAGAGAGGTTTTCTCTGAGTGGCAGGAGTATGAGTGACACTGTTTATCTCCCTTTTTTCTGCATTTTCCAAATATCTTGCTATACTCAAGGGGGAAAACATTGTGGAATATCTCCACCAGCCTGACTTGGGCCTGACACTTTCCTTCTTGGGTCCCTCGCCTGCATAAGTAATAACCAATGCCAAGCACTGAGTCGCTGGGCTGAGTGACATAGGAGTTAACCCTAAGGAGAAGGGATTAATGAACCAATTTTTGATTAGCATGTTCTTGGGCTTGAATAGGAAGGTTTGGTGGAGAGAAAGGAGGGCAGAGGAAAGGCAGAGAGAGATTAAGAGAGGCAAGTGAACCTTTCTATGACCCCTTCCCTTTTCTGCCCCCACCTTAATGCCTGAACACTCCCTGGGCCAAGTAGGAAATAAGATAGGTGAAGTGACAATGAAATATGAAACACTACCTTTTGTGGTTTCTGAGACACAAGAGACAGATTGTTCTTTGTCTCCATATGTTTGTATTTAAATCTTCTCACTTCCAGACAAGTGGCATGGACTTATTTCACTCTTCTCAGATTGTGTGAGAAAAATACTGGAAATACTAAAAACTAGACTAAATAGGAGGCATATTTCAGTTTACAGAGAGTCTCCAAAATGACTGAACAAAAGTCTGTTATTAAGGAAATGTTGAGGGGGCTGCAGGTGACATGGTGGTTAGGGGTGCTGGACTCCCACATGGTCATGGCAGTTTGAGTCCTGGACCTGGCGATTCACCTTCTCAATTTCTTTCTCTTTCTCTCTCTCTCTCTCACTCTGTCCCTCTTTGGTCAAATTAAAATATATAAATAAAGTTAAACAAAATAATTCTTTTTTAAGAAAAAGGAACTATCGGGTCATCAGAAAAGTCATAACGTACTTTTCAGTGTTTTTCTATATAAAAAATGCATCACAACTTTTCCAGCGACCCAGTAAGTGTGTTCAGTACAAATCCAATGCATGAGGGGACTTCAAGAAGTTCAAGAAAAATCCTGTAATTTATGTATGAGTTTGACTCAGCCATGGTGGGACAGGCAGTGCTATCCTGAACTGTAGTGCTGGGAACAAAATGATGTGCATGGTTCAAATCCCCAGCCTGAAACACACAGACCATGCACAAGTCCCCAGAACCTGAGGAGCTGGAGGACTGGAGGAAGAGGATTGTGGAGTGGTGAGACCCTTGGAGGGTGTTCCTCTCTCTCTCTCTCTCTCTCTCTCTCTCTCTCTTTCTTATGCATGCTTGACTGGATATGTGCATGTGTTACACTTTCTCATGAATAAAGAAAAAAATAAGTATGAATTTATTTTGGTGCAAAAAATGTTTTAATTCATGCAATTTTTCATAATATGCATTTTGCGTGAACTTTTAAAAAATTGCCAGAGTGCATGTGGGCTTTCCAGAGGGTGAGAGAGCAGGAGCGAGCACCCCCCTCCACCCCACAATGGAGCATGGTCACACTTCAATCTCTTTTCCTCCATTTCTCCATCCTGAAGGTATTTGGGGCACACACATACACATATGAACGGCATGTTTTTCAAACTGCCATGGTGAGGATTCAAACTGTGGTTGGCTTGGCATGTGGATCCAGCTCCTTTAACCTCTAGGCTATGGGGCCAGCTCTCCATGAACTTTTTGAAGATCCATTGTATGGCGATGTGTGTGTGAGAGAGTATATCAGGAGGTAAAGTTTTACGTGAACTGACCTATGTCCCTATAATGTTAATTATTTTAAATAGATTGACTCATGTTTTTAACATTCATTCGTTCAACAAACATCTTATTCAAATTCCAGTTTCACTTTAAATAGCTATGTGGCCTTAAGCAAATTATTGAACTTCTTCAAAATGCTGTTTTTTGACTGAGCTGGTAACCAAAGATCTCCTCTAGGACTAGAAACATTTAGATCAGCCGGCTGTGTGTATGGTAACACGAATGTGCATGAACCCTGTCTTTTCAGATGCTGGAGTCCCCACCTACATGTACGAGTATCAATATCGTCAAAGCTCCTTAGCAGCCATTAGACCCAAAACAGTGATAGCAGACCATGGGGACGAACTCTTCCTAGTCTTCGGGGCACCGTTTTTAAAAGGTAATGGCTCTTTCGTTGGCTATGAGTTTAGAGTTAGAAGATCCGGGTTCCAGCCTTATTCGGTGGCTTAGTAAGTTGTTTCTTTCCTCCTGGTCTTAGTTTCTCCACTGGCTATTCAAGGGTTGATCCCCATGGGACAGTCCCCCACCTTCTTCCTCTACCATGATAATGTGTATATGTGTGTTCTCAGCCATAATCACCCTGTGACATTAGTAAGACAGGGGATGGGTCACCTGCAGGGCCCTGCTCCAGGACGAGCATACACTGTTCACCTCTCACTCACAAGAGCCTATTAGGTTTAAGGTGTTAACCTGGAATCAAGTCAAATGTATTGGGTTGATGGAAAAGTTGTGACTTATTTTTCTATGCAAAAATGTGTCACGACTTTTCTGACAGCCCAGTATATCTCTCAGTTTGTGTCTCTAAAACAAATAACTTTTAAAATTTTAATGTATCTAATAATATATTTTAAGGAAAATCTTTTACACATGCTTCCAATACTTTAACTCTCAGCAGTCACAAATTGTGACCCATCCCATGGCTCTGGGCATCTTCTGGTTAGTGATATGTCAAGACTATTGCAGAACTACTATTTTTCAGATGCCATGAAAATGTGGGTAGGTGAAGAGGATTGAAAAAAAGATCCAAGAGGGTGCAACCCTGGGAGGTGGAGTTGCAGGTCCATTACCGAGCCCTTGGTCAGTTGATTGCAAACTTAACACAAGTAAATCTGGTTCTTTTCAAAATGCAGACCTTGCAGAAAGTATGGAGTAAGGGCTAAGATTGTATTTCTAGCCAGTTCCCAAGAGATGCTGCTGTTGCTGCTCCAAGTGCCACTTGGAGAAGGAAAGACTTTGTTTCTTTTTCTTGTTCCACTCAGAGAGTAACTCAGAAGATGACATCAAAGCCAGCAAGATGATGATGAAATTCTGGGCCAACTTTGCTCGGAATGGGTAAGACCGGTAGCAACGAAGGAATAGCATCGGTGGTGGTGGCTGGGGGTAGAGTAGGGCATACCTATTGGGAAGAGATGGCTTCTAAAGTTTTGGTGATCAAGTCTTGTCCTTGGCCCATAGCACTGTGACAATGAGTATTTTCTAAAAATAGATAGGCTGCCCCAGGAGATGGTGAGATCTCCATCTCTGGGGGTATACAAGCCTCTTGGCAGAGAAAAGTCAGAGGATCCTTGAAAATCTCCTAAGGTCTTCAAGACCACACAGTGGATTTGGAGAATTTCTATTTGATTCTGTTCACAGGAATCCCAATGGAGAGGGGCTGCCCCATTGGCCAGAGTATGACCACAAGGAAGGGTACCTGCAGATTGATGTCACCACCCAGGCAGCCCAGAAGCTGAAGGACAAAGAAACAGCTTTCTGGACCGAGCTCCTGGCCAAACAGGCAGCAGGAAAGCCGCCCCAGATAGAACACATTGAGCTGTGAACAGAAGGCCCAGCCATCCTCAGGAGCCTGAAGGAGCCAAGACAAGGGTGTTCTACAGAAGATGTTTGCAGGCCAGAGAAGCACCTTATTGTGGAGACTGAAGATTTGTCTGGCGGGAAGAGGAGGAGGCCAAGGAGAGGGAATTTTTATACATGTGGCCTCAATTTGGGAAATAAATGTTCTTTTGGAGACCAAAACAATGTTTTAGGCTGTAGATTCATCTATCCTCCTCAGAGAGAGGGGAAAGGAGAGGGTACCAACCATACGAAGTTCCCCTTCTGGGCATAGCTTAGCCTCTTAGACAGGCAGAGTCTAACAGTCTGGGCTTTGGGACATGCTAAGAAGGATGCTGGACCTGCTCCATGTCTTTGGGCCCCCAAGATCTCCCAGCAGTAGAATCTGGGCTAGCCAGAATGAAGCATCCCTCTATCTAATTTGGAGCTGCCTGAGGAGATGGAGGAGGCCCAGGTGGAGAATGTACCTGGACAGGGCAAAAGGGAGAGACACCATGGTAACACTGTGGCATCATTGCATGGCCTTTACTGAGCCTTCCTCAACACCTACAGTAGCCTCACAGGCCTCTCCATGAACCTGTCTCTGAGTCTCCTTTGTAGCCTGAATGACTTCAGGATCAGACAGTGACCACCTTGGGGTAAGTCTCCAAAGTGTTGTCCTAAAACTGTCTCAGAATTTCAGGGAGGTGATTTCTAGATTCATGGGGAAATAGAAAGTTTCAAGAAGTGTTACTCTTACTGTAAGAGCAAGAAAACCTGGATTATCTTCAAAAGCATAACTTTTCCTCTACCAAAGATCTGAAGTTGCAAAGAAAATCATTGCCCTGAAATCTAAAGGAAGACAGGCACTTTGGAGGGGAGGTGGAATGGGAACACTAGCTTACATCTCCTGGTGGAATACTGGGTCATCACATACATGAATAGGCTTACTCCAAGTATTTTAATCAAGCACTAAAGGCCAGGTGTGGGCTACTATGAGACTATAAAATCCCTGGGAATCACAGCTCCAAGGGAGCGCTTACACTCACTCAGTCTCTTCTCTATGGACTTCTAACAAGTGGTCATGGAGTAGATTTGGAGCAGAGAATAAGACCAGAGAAAACCTGCCTCCAGGGGTGTAGACATAAAGCTCTGCTCAGACATTCTCTCCTAAAGAACAAACTCCTTCAACCACTGGGAAAGAGAAGCAAACCCTGTTTCCCCTCAAGGCACTAGTGAAGATTTATTGAGATGGAGGGAAAGGAACATTGTAAAACCTGGGAGTGGGACAGGAAACTGTTGTGGGTCCAGATCATTAGAGGGGAGACCAGTACTGCTGGGGAGGAGCCAGATCACTGAGAAAGGTCCATGTCCAAGTCTTTGGACTTTAAGGCCTGCCAAAAATGAGGCTGAACTAAGACCAGAGAAACCACTCCTGGCTGCTGCCAGAGTTAGCAAGTACCCAGTAACAGAAATCTGCTGGGAGAGGGCAAAAGTGTGAAAAGAGACCCTCACTGACGAGCAGGTGCATAGGGCAGGTCTAAAGCTGAGAGTGGAACAAGACAGTAAGACAATCCTTTAGAAAACCAACCCTCACCAAGCACACTAGAACAAGCACAGGGTAACACTAGAATAATGCAGGTGATGCACTTAGGACAACCGCAGCAATGTCAAAACCCAGGTTTTGCTCACTTTCTGTCTAGATTGGCTCAACTTCCCCACCACACACTCACACACACACACAATCCATCTAGCAGGAGAAAAGACATACCTATATCCACTCATAAATACTATTTTCTTTAGTTTACTCTTCTACATATATCAAACATTGAATCCAAAATTGCAAATGTGCAAAATAATAATAATAAAACTATTAACAATTGATAGAACTAGATATTAAAAATAACAGACAGAATTTAAAATAACTGTATGGAAAACTCACATGAATAATTTCTCATAGAAAATTTTATTATATAAATTATAATGAAGAAGCAAATGGAAATGTTAGAAAATTTTTAAAAATGATAACAGAAATGATAAATGACTCTAATGGGTTCATTAGTAGATTTGACACAGCTAAGGAAAAAATGAGTCAATTTGAAGATAGGTTACTATAAATTACTCGATTAAGAAAAGAAAAAGAAGTGAAGGGAACAACCAGAACAAAGGTTCTAAGAGCTGTGGGATATCAAATGGTCCAACATATGTATAACTGGAATTCTAGAATGAGAAAAGAGAAAGAACGGGGGAAAATATATTTTAAAAGATAAAGGCTGGGGGCCAGAAGATGACTTAATGGTAACAATGTTGGGCTCCCACGTAATCAATGGGGTTTCAAGTCCCAGACCTAATGGGGGAAAAAAAAAAACAACAAAAAACTTCATGCCAAGCATGTGTGTGCGTGCATGCCCAAAATCCCAAGAGGAGAATGGAGGAGAAGGGATTGTGGTGTGGTCATCCTCTCTGGGGGGTGATTTCTTGTTTTCTATCTCTCTGACTCTCTCTGTCTCTCTGCTGAGGGCACATGCCCTATAGCAAAATCTCTCAAAATAAATAAAGAAAGAAATAATAAGATCAAGGCAGAGAATTTTCTTAAAATAATGAAAGACATCAAAGCATAGACCCAAAATGCTCAGAGAATCTCAAGAGCTACACAACAACCAATACGTCTAGATGTATAATGAGAAAATATTGAAGGCAGCCAAAGGAAAGACAGTAAATACCGAGAAAATGAGTTACAGCAGACTTTTCAATGAAAACTATGCCAGAAAATAGTAGAGTGGCATCTAAAGTGCTGAGACAAAAAACTTTCAACCCAGATTTCTTTTTTGAAAAAGAAAAAGAAAAAAGACATTTTAGGCAAACAACTGAGAAAACTTATTATTATCATATCAGTGTGACAGAAATATTAAATGAAGTTCTTTATGCATAAGGTGATGGAAAAACTTGAATCTATACCAAAGAAGTGAAGATCTACAGAACTTTAGAATAAGCATTAAGGTAAGATGTTTTATTGTAAATCACTGTCTAAAGCAAAAACACTACTAATGAATTGCGCGTGTAGTGATTATATAAGAGCAAAATGACAAAAATAGACAAAAGAAGGGACAGGACTGTAAGGTACACTGTTGTAAGATTCTTACACTCCATGTCATTGGTATTGTATTATTTGAAGGTGTGATATAGTTAATATGATTAAAACAATATACACTATATACTCCAAACAATGACTGGAAATATATATATATATATATATATATACACATATACATATATTTTTTCCCCATAGGATGTGTGTGCTTGCCAGAGAGAGAGAGAGAGAAAGTGAGAGAGAAAGTGAGATATTATCACCCTGAAGGGGGAAGGGCCACGCTGCAATCTCTTTGCCTCCATTCTCCTCTTGGAATTTTGGGCACACACACACACATGTGCCTGGCATGATTTTCAAGCCACCAGTTCCAGGATTTGAACTGCATCAGTCATGTGGAAGTCCAGCTCCTTAACCACCACACCGACTTTTTAACAGGTATGAATCATAACCCAAGAGTGAAAATAAGATAAAACATAAAAAATCATCCAAAAGCAAGCAGGCAAACAGAAAATAAGGAAACAAAAACACATGAGCAAATAGCAAAGTACCACTAAAATGGTAGATTTTAATCCATCCACATCCATAATTACATTAAATAGAAAGGATTGAAACACACCCACGAAAAGAGGTGGCCAGATTGGCTGAAACAAAGCAAGACCCAACTCAACACTGCCATGTGGGCCTGGCTCTGCTCTTTGACGTCTTCTCCCAGCTTTCAAGCCTCACCCATCTTTCAGTTCCTCTCTCCCCACATCTAGAAAGCTGGTAAGAGAACCTGAGTCCTTCCTCTGGTGTCAATGGAAGATTTAAACAGCAAGAGAGCTTACCCGGCCCAACGCCGAGTGTTCACGCCACACCTTGTCCTATTGTCTGAGAGCCTCACAGAGCTCTCTGGGGCTGCACTGAGGTGATGAAACAGCTTGTTTTTCCTTTTGGTCTGGAACGAGGGAGCAGGAGTCAGCAAGTTGCAGCCAGATCGCACCCACTATGTAGATAAGGCTTTACTGGAACACAGATAGACTCATTTGTTTACATATAGGTTATTGTTTGCCAAACGACATAGTCGAGCAGTATGAAGAGTCTACACCAGGGGATGTGAACGGCTGCCCTGGGCCCGTGAAGTGTGCAACCTCTACAGCTGTAGATGGCTTAAATCTGTTTGCCTGGAAACCATGTTCGATTGGAGCTTTAAGTTATGGATTCCTCAAGGGTAGAAACCCATGTCTCCTCTGCTCATAAATGCCTCTCAAACCTACCCGGGTGTCTTGGGTAATCTTAGTTTTGTCTTGGGCAGGAGAAGAAAATGCAGATCTCTATTCTCCAGGACTCCAGCAACACCACACCCTCATTTAAGTGCCCCCTTCTTCTGTTTATCTCCCCAGCCCAGGAGATCCATAGCTTGATGGTAAACGTTTGCTCCTCTATCATCTTTCATTCTTCTAAAGCTAAACTCTTGCAGGATTCAGATGTACTAGACTCAAAAGCTAAGAGATAACCCTGGCTTCCTGTGCTCTCCTTCCATATTCCTTTTCTAAAACAGGAATTGAGAAGTGCCCCAGATGCCTGAAAGAAAGCTGCAAGGACTCAGTGAAATGTGGAGTGGAAAAGGAGAGATGGAAAAAAACCTCACCAGTTCCTGTTACTATTCCACAATGATGCTTACCACGCCTGGACAGACTTCCAAATCTTTATCACATCCAAAGACCATGGGAGTGGGTGTAAATAATTTTCACCAGCCCAGGTACTCCTTTGTCCTCCAGAGCTGCAGAAAGTGGTCCCCTATTTTAACATGGCTTACACTTATCATGTCAGCTATGGGTGCCCCTCCTCTCCTTGCCTCAGCCCAGGCTCCTTCCAGCACTGGATTGTCAGGGAAGTGGAAGGAGGGGTGCCTTCCAGAGCTTCCCCTCTGGTCCTAACTATCACATACAGCTCCTTGGTGACAAATACAATATGTTCACCACCTACATTTCCTCTCAGTCTTCAGGCAATCCTGGAGCAAGCGTAGGGGGAGTTATTTGTATTAGACAGAGCCTCAGAGGGAGAAATGCTTTAACCAAGGTCACAGAGCTGGTACCACCGAGCAGAGACACAGGCACAGCTCTGTTTTCAGATC